TTAAATTTCAGACCACATCCCGGCAGACATATCAAGCGCCGAAAACAAGGCCATATTACGCGCCAAATGCTCGTGAACATTGAACGATTCGAGTAGTGCTAATGGATATTGATTCTTAGAAGAAAAACGAAAGGAATATTTCCCACCAAAGGTCACCATCAAATGACAGAACAACGTTGATCTTTCGCCGCTGCATACTGGATTTACGTTGACACAAACGTCGCGCTAAGCTCACGTTCTCGTCCTTGTACCGAGCTAATCCCGACCTTTGTGCGGTCTCCGTGCGACGAAAAACAGACGTCGAGCAGAAACAACTAGATGGCGCCTCGCACGTGCCCTGCCAAAGATTTCCTCGACAAAAGAGCCGGCGAGGTACGCGCTCACCAAGCGCGCGCCGACAGCGCCAGCTGGTGGGATTCCGAGAAACGAGAGGAAAGGAGGCGAGACGCACGTCGCGAAGCTGGATGATCGAGAGCTGCTCAAACATCGACTCCGACTCGCGCGCGCCGCTCCACCCCGCCCCGCCACGCCCCGCCCCGCCCCGCGCCACCGGAACCCCGGACCTCCTCCTGCGATTCCGCGAGCGCGCTCAAACAAGTTCTGTAAATAACAGGCACTCGGCGCCGTCGTTCGCCGCCGTTTACGGCCGCGTTCGTTTACCGGCAAATACGCATGGCTTTTATTTACGGCCGACGCTAGCACCCCATAACAACCGTGGGGTCTACGAGGAGACAGGTTTAATTCTGTTGTCTCTCGCCGGGTGAGAAGTTGTGAGCGTGGGAGGAACTAATAGGGTGGGAGATTTCTTCGGGCGAAAAGAAAGAAACAGAAAGCGAAGTATCAGCAAAACTAAGTCGAGAACACGGAGTTCACTTCAGAAATTTGGGAATATCATTTTTTTAGATTAACGAAAACTTACAAAGTATCAAAATAAATTTCTTATTTCAGTCTAGTTACAAAAAAAACTAGACGTGCTAAAAATGACGTACTTTTTCCGCCTTAGTAATAGTTACGTAATATTGTTTATGCACGTTATGTAATACAATTTTTTAATAATTATAAAAATAATTGAATGTTAAATCATATAAAAAAATTTAGTTATTCCTCTTCCTTTACATGTCGCCCATGGGGCATTTTCAAAATTGGGACATTTTCATGTTTTTTTTATTAAATTTTGTTGTTTGATAGTATGAAGGACACTTATGCGAATCGTGCACATCTCACATTCGTCGAAAACACTGATTTTTCGAAAGTTTCAAAAGTTCAAAACTTTTTCTACATTATAATTTCTATCCAGCAAAATGTATATTTTTATTATATCCATCAAAATTCAGCTTTGCTGAAAAGCTGGTTAAAATTTAAAAAAAAAGATTTTCTAGGAGTGAGGTTCTTTTCATTGCTCCCATTCATTGCTCTGCATTCATCGAGGGAAGTTTAAGAACTCTTGTTAAGAACTTGTCGCTCGATTGGAAGTGCACTACATCCCGGTGTTGCAGACTTGCGCATTTCTGTTCTGACCCTCTAAAAAACGAGCGAAAGTCAGCCTTCGGGCTAACTATGGTATGCTATTTTGCATACATTCACAATTTTTCAACTTTTAAGAATTAATTCCAGGACGAACATTGTAACTAAAATACTGTAAATATATCATCATTTTGTATTATATATTTTTTATTCCAACAATATATTGCCAATTGCAGAGAATTAGTAATTGACAGTCATGCAAATTTCTGAACATTATCTATTTTATTCAATGTAATCATGTATAATAAACATGTTCAACTTTCACGTAATATCAAAATATATCTAACACAAAGAAATGGAATTTTCTTTCAAAATGACTGATTTTTCAAACAAATCATCAAACAGTAAACCCCTAGTTGATGAATAGTGAACTAGTGTTATAACGAATAAGATTTTTATTGCCGGATAATCGTCCAGCACTTTTAATGATTTCGATTTATCCTTTAAAAATGAAGACAGTCCAAATTCAACAGCGGAAAGACGCTTTTAATTTTTGTTTCAGTGAGGTGCATTCACTAGCGAAATCAGACAAAAATAAATTATACTTGTTGTAAACTGTCTCTTTCTTCATCCATATTAGAAGTGTTTTAATTACTTCTATTTTTAATACACCTTCTCTATCTATTTAAAATACGTCTCTAAAATATGTTCCCAAAAGACGAGAAAAAACACTTTTTGAAATAGAAAATGTATTGAAAATACGTATCAAACACAAGTACTGAAATATGGCCCAACCCTATTCATTACAGAAACTAAATATTTTGGTGCAAAAACTAAATGTTTTCAAGTTAATATCAACTCAAATTTAACAATGATAACTGCTTTCCATACAGGTAAATCAAGTCACAACAAGAAGACCTAATTCACAAACAATGAGCTCCCTAGTCATTGTTGTCAAGTCATTGCAGCATTCCAATCTCATATTCCCTGAAAGCTAACAGTATTTTAAATAATTTCTATAAGATTAATGTGTAAATGAGCAGCAAAAGGTCAAACGTAAGAAACTAACAAAGAAATATGAAATAATATACAAATTCTAACTTACGAAGCATCCAAATGTCTGGAATTACTTTCATGAAGGGCAGTAAATTCGGAGCGGGCGATTATTTTTGTCTCCAAATTACCTCCAAAATACTCATATTTTCAAAAAATTGAACAGTACTTTGTTTGAAAAATATATGTTTATAAACACATTTCATTAAGAAAAAGAATTGTATTTTTACAGCTGTAGGAAGACGCCGAAGACGAAGCGGAGTCAATTGACAGCAGGCTATTATGGCCCACGGGAAATTACACAAAAAGACTCATTTTTTCAGAAAAATCAACATGAACTTATTAAAAGATTTATTTTTATGAACACATTTCATTTAAAATGTATCGTCATGTTGTAGTTTTAGGAAGCTTTTAATTTTCCCAAAATTCGACATTTTAACGAAAATGAGATCTGCACAATTCTCTTAAGCGTCCTTTATGCTATCTAAGGTCGCAATTTAATAAAAAATGTGTAGTTTATAAGAAAAAATGGTTTAATGAAAATAAAAATTGCGTATGTTTGACCCAAAATTTTGTAAAATATACTCATGTTTTTGAAAAGTCAAACGGATCTTTTCAAAGATGGGTTTTTTGATGAACACATTTCTTCAAGAAAACAATGTATTGTCGTAATTGTAGTTGTTAAAAAAAGCCGATTTTTTTCATTTTTCGAAAAATCTGTTTTCCACCAACTTGGGACTTTTTTCTTAAACATCCTTCAAATTAACCATCAACACAATTTAATCGCAATAGATAGAGCCGTTTACTGTTTACACAACTGTTTAAACAAAATGAAAAATTGGCAATATTTCACACAAAATTACCCAAAAAATACTCATTGTCGAACATTTTTTTATTACCTTACTTCAAAATCTATGTAAAAATAACAAATTTTATAAAGAGAAAAAAATATTTCTAATAAATTATTTCTTGGAAGTCTCCGAAAAAGGTTTGATTTTTTCAATTTTAGAAATATGTTTTTAATCAAATGTGACTTGCGCTATTCGCTTAACTGTCCTTCATACTATCCAACAACAAAATTTCATCAAAAACGATGGCGCCGTTATTTCGAAAAGGTCCGAGAGTCTTCATGTAAAGTACTCCCCAAAATTAAAATATCGGTTTCCAATTCAAAGAGCCGCTACATCAGGCAGATCGATTAGGCAATATCAGTTTTGGAGAAAATCGATTGAACGGTTTAGCCGCTAGCGTTCACAGATGGACGGACGACGTTTTGTCGTCAACGGATTTTTCGGTATCAAGGACTCACAAAACATGGATTCTGGCTACACCACGTCTTAGAGGATATTTTTTAACTTTATCAACTAGATATATCCACATTTTCATCAGTAGGATCCTCAAGGAAGGGTTTTTCTGCTGAAATTTGCTTTTTCTTTACTCAGCATTACATAACTTTCTCTCCACTGCGGTAGCGGTAGCGAGAATGTGAAAATAATAATATCTGCCTTCAATAATGTAAGTATAGAAAAGGTAGTACTCTTCCACTAGTTTCAAAGTTTTAGAGGTTTTAATAAAAGTCGGATCTATCCTTATTTTATTAGCGCAGATTTACTACAAAGTAATAAATGTTCATAAAATCTTGTTGCTATTTTTGAGAAATTCTGACAATGTTCCAGGGGTTCCAATTTTCAACCTTTGATAATCTGTTTGAAATTCGCAGTAACTCAAGTGCGACCATATAGATCGTGGAATATCAATTTTAGAGAACATTCTGTAAACTGTTTAGTCTCTAAGAGTCGGACACACTGATCTCTTGCGAAGAAACTTTTTCGGAAAGGTCCCGGTAACGTGTATTCGTACAGTAAGTAAATAAGCTCCAAGCTCTAGCGGTACCTTTCGAATTCCTATTGACGTTTTAAGTTGTTGCAAAATTCTGTTTAGGTAATTACGAGTATTTTAATATTTTTTATATATAAGTATTATAATATTTTTTTTGTTATGTCAGATAAATTTTGTTACTTTAAGCTCATGATGTCTAATCAACTTATTAATAAATAAAAAATGGTTCAGCACATGGAAAATCGTAAAATGTTTCACGTTGCACGATTCAATTCACACAGAATATCTTACCATGTAAAAAGAATTACGTGATTATATCTTTTAATTATACCATTTTCAACCAAGAGCACAGAAGTCTTCAGATCACGAGGTGCGTTCAGGCGTCTCTAAAGACACGTGAGACTGTCACGCCCACTCTCCCCCAGAGTGTAAAGCAACAGGCTTCACCAACTCGCGGCGTGTTAAAAATTGGCTGTACATGTGTTTATTGTTTTCTTAACCTCACATGCCTAGCCGTCGCGCGGCCAGAGCTGCGGCCCTTAGAGCCGGTCCTCAGCCCTTTTACCAGCTCCTTGGGTCGTTGGAGAGTTGGTAATTAATCTAACACTACATTAAAAAGAAAATTGGGTGTAGAGTGCACTCACCCGTTGCCCCCGGCGGCGGCCGCCGCGGCGGCCCGCTAGCCTGTTAGAGCGCGTAGCACGCTGCGCGGGGCGCCCGGCCGGCGGCGCGCGGCGGCCCCTCCTCCTCGGGGACGAGCCGCACACGACGAGGCCGCGGCGGCGGCGGCCGCGCGGCGGCGCCCGGGTCGGCGGCGTGCGCGGCGTGGGCGGCGCGCGGCCGGCCGGCCAAGATGGAGAGGATGCTGCCGCGGCCCCGCCGCCCTTGCCCAGCGGGGAGCCCAGGGCGGCGCCGCCCGCCGCGCCGCCGCCGCGGCCGCCGCCGCCGCCGCCAGCCCGGCGGCGCCGCAGCGCGTGCGGGAGCGCAGGCGGCTCAGGATGGAGCCGCGGTACACGCCTGCGGCAGCACACACACGGCCTTACAAATTGACTTCGACTCACGCCTATATACTTATACACACCACACACACACACACACACACACACACAAACGCGCACGCACGCGCGCGCGCGCGCCCACACACATACACACACACACACACACAAACGCGCACGCACGCACGCCGCGCGCGCCCACACACATACACACACACACACACACACACAACAAACGCGCACGCAGCACGCGCGCCCACACACATACACACACACCACACACACACACAACGCGCACGCACGCACGCGCCCCACCACATACACACACACACCACACAACATATATATATATATATATTATATATATATGTGTTCTTATCTGCATAGTTACTAATATATATATATATATATATATATATTTATATTAATATATATATATATATATATGTGTGTGTCTTATCTGCATATATATATATATATATATATATATATATATATATGCAGATAAGACGACCATCAGATAAGATGAGGTCGTACACTTTCGTCAAGGTTTTATACTTTTAGCATATACCTGCCCTAAAAGACGACGATCTACGGCATATGAATTTAGTTGACACCAGCGATCATAATTTCTTCCAACTCGCAGCACTACAGCACGTCTGGCAACATTAGCGTCTGGTAAACTTTCATTGATTAAGGCATTCCGGACATTTTTGTTCTATAACTATACGAAAAGCCTCCTTCAGATGAATAGTATCCGTCTAAACAAACGACCTCATATTTTGGTGATTTTTTTATTCATCTATTGTCTTTTCTGCCGAAATACGTAAGAGAGAAATATGAAACCCCACCAACCACAGAGTGGCTCCCGCTATTCGTCTAGTATAAATCTTGATTTTGGTCAATGTGTTTATAAATATGAAGGGTTCAGTTTACAGTTTATCTATTTGAAAGTCATAGGGAGTAACAATGTGACCAAAATATTCAGTACACATAGCGAGAGACATCCTACATCCTATGACGGCTGATTTTGGTACTGCCTCAAGCACATCACAAAAACATGTTGAATATATGTTCCGAAGCCGATTTTTCGCTTTTGCACTACTTAATATGTTGACTATTAACTTGTTCAATTTAACATTTTAAAATGTTCGTTGTTCGTTCCGTTGTCAGCTAAACTTTGAGCAATTTTTCACGGCAAGAGCTGTACATCCAATAACAATTTTCTGTATTCTAAATGTAAGCTGAATAAAATAGTCAAAGGAAGAAACGATGTATCTCTTGAAGATTTGTTTGTCCGTGCAAATGTATGAAACATTACGCGGAATATCTTCAAGTTTAGGAGAGAAAGATTAAGACAGTGAGCAGATCCTCTGTCCGGGAAGTCCTAGGTTCGAGTGCGGTTGGTGGCAGAACTTTCGACACAGGCAAGAGAGATAGGTCGTTTTTGATCGGCAGTTTTTTCGTGGTTTCTCCGTTCAACACCAGGCGAATGCTAGAGCAGTACCCTGACAAACAGTTCACCGACCGCGCGCGGTCTTTTCTTCCCATTCCTTGTCGTATCATATTCCTTACACACATACACAATTAAGTATACGTACTACAGACCCACACATGCCAGGAGACAGGTCGGGAGTTTACAGCTTGAGCCCGCTGGGGCTGTGCCCCGCTGGTGGGAGATACCTGGTTCGGGAAATCTCCGGTAGCCGACGGTAGGCCGGCGCCGAATCTCACCATCTAGCGGGAAAAGATCCCGCCTCCCCCGGTGATAAAACATGCACTAAACTTACGAAACTAATGACCTTAGAGTTGAGGCGCCCTGAATCACTAATCAATCAACCAACCATCGTGTTTAGTAGTTCCTGGAACGCAGCTGAATAGAAAATAACACCAATGGGTATTAATGTAGTCGGTACCTTTAGAAGTTATAAAATAATTCTTTTGAAATATATATTTGAATAATTCATATGAAACCATCTTCCTTATAAACAAAATCCTGCCGACAAACAAACAAGGGTGGACGCAATGTGAATGATGATGTAACATTCCACATATATACTTATAATGTTATGATACTCTGCACGTATGCGTTTGACATTATTGTAAATGTTAAGTGATGAGATGCGGTTGTAAGGAATTTAAAAATTGGAATAAAATAAAACATATTTAGATTTATTAAATTAGATAAATAGTACATGACGTAAGGGAAAGGAGATGAGATATAGGGTATAATAGATTTCAAAAAATGTGATCTATCATGATTAAGATTTAAAAAGGAACTTAAATATGCGCCGGATCATGATCAATTATCTATTTAATACGAATATGTTTAATTTTGCTTTCAAATAATTTGCATTATATTATTACAAATACCCTAATGTGAAATAGAAGTATCATGATAATTTCAGCCATCCGCATATTTACTAAATCAAATATGATTAACAAAAGGGGAAATAATTTTCTTTGGAGAAATAACAAAAAAATACAATGTTTAAAACAAACATATTTCTTATCGCCTTGCGTACTATCAGTGACTCATCCAAGAGGGGAGGGGGTCTTTCTTGGTTTTACACTCCCCCCCCCACAAGAAAATGATACATATTCAAAAATACTGTTTTACTGATTTTCCATAGTAACGACAATCATTCAAAGTATCCAAAATAATAAGGAATAATAAGTTGAAAATAAATCTTTTCGTCATTTATAATTTCAAACATACAAAAAGACATGACAGATACTTTATGGAATTGTAAGGAAATAAATTTTTCAATGCAGTGCTGATTAATAATATTCCATTAAGAGTATTATTTTGTATGCTATGTTGTCTTCGCCGCTGAACGAATTTAGAGTTTATATTTTAATCGTGCAACTCTTCTCTTCGAGCAGCGTACGGAAAGAGCTCTCCTATGTAAGCTCTTGAATACAAATGCGTATAAATAAATTAACATAGTTCAGTAAATCCGGAATTATTTTCTAATACTAAATTCGATTATTTATGTATGTCGCTACACTGTTAAATATTCTACAGTAAATACGTGGAACTGTCGATGGGAACAAATAAATTGGCAATGTTATTTTAGTTCGACTGATGAAATGTGGACTTTACTTTTGAATACTTTTAAAGTAGTATTTCACTTCAAAAAACACTTTCACAAAAACTTTCTTTTATTCAACAATTGCTGCCATCTATAATCATTTTCACAGTAAAGAAACGTTTCAGCTAAATTGCCACATTGAAAAACAAAATGTGCAAATCTAGATGGGAAGCAAATGCTTATATAATAATTTCGAAATGTTTTGAGAGTTTTTGAAACTCATTCCAGTAAAGAGGAAAAACGTAATTGAGTGATGGTGCGAGAAAATAAATGAAAGAGAGTAAAAACATAGAAAAAAGATATTGGTGGCCTTAGTGTCAATTTTCTAATTTCTTCTCAAATTGCATATGTGGTATATGCGGATAAGGTCCCCGATTGTCAAGTATATTCTAATGATCCTGGAATTGAAATAGTTCGAGGATTAATACTACGGCATCATGCAATAAAATTCACTTCTCACACAGTTGCAATAAATCTTTTAATTATCATTTAATAACTTGAACAAATCAGCATGTTAACATCCACAAATTTCGAGTTTCAATAGATTTCTAAAGACAATGTATCACATCACAAAAATATGAGAAATTTATTAAAAAAATCTGTTACATATTCAACATATTTCAAAGATGCATTGTACTGATAATCACGGACTGGATAGAATAAAAAGTACGGAAACCGCAGCAGAGATCTCTAGAGAGACCCTTTGTCCTTTACATAAGAGCCCCCTTTATCATTCATGTAGCACTATGCTGCGGGCTTGGAGCCCTTCATGAACTATTAAAGGGCACTTTATTTGTAATTTAGCCTCCGCCGTCGCCGCAGTCGTTAACCTTTGATACCGAGCGGAATAACGGAACGCCAATGTTCCGAAAACATGAAAATCTACATTATACAGACGGGTAATAGTAGCTCGAATCCATATTTTACGTTCCCGCGGGTCCTGACGACCGAAATTAATTTCTTGGGAAGCAGACTATCGAAACGGTGGTCTGTCAGGTCTACACAGCGAGGCATTCCAAACGGAACAGCGCGTATTATTCAAGCGGCAGCGAAGGCTACCCAGAGGACTACCCGCCTTCTCGAAAGCTCCCTGTTTAACTTCCCCCTCTCCCGCAGGGCCTCACGGGAGCGCAGAGAGCGTTTTTTGGAAGTTAAACCTCCGTAACGCCCTGACCGCCTTGTGACCATTTGACAGCCCTGTGCAAATTCTTTGTTTTAGTGCTTCAGTATCAGTAATTTTAATCTGTGTCCACAGGCACGATTTATTCATTATTCATTCTAAAACTATCATTGAAGTGGGTGTTGATAGTATACATTTTCCAGCCATTGACAATTTGTTTCAAATCTGCCAAACAACTCTGATCTAAAACGGTGCATTTCTCTAGCTTCTGTGGGATTTTGCATAATGTTAACCAAACGTTACAAGTGAAGAATAGGCAAACGGAGAGATGGACGAGTACACTAAGGTCGACATTCTTGACAATGAAACTTAAGCCATATTTTTAACTTGTCAAGCACAACACTAATCTTAAATATTTTGTGAATTCGTGACGCTTCTCACTGATTGTAGAAACAATATCTAAAACGCCTCACTTCAGACGACAACGAGAACAGAATCCTGACCCTCCATCCCTACCCCATATGTGGACAACTTAGAAATCACACATGAGATCCATTTTTATAGCAATTGAGATTTAATGAAAAAATATAACTTCGGTTGGAAACATTTTTTAAATATTATTTCTAGATTGCACTAGAATCGCAAAAATTAAAATTATTCGCCATTTCGTGCAACACATTTTGTATTTCACAGTAAAATACTTCCTCTGGATTTTTTTAAAAAGCTATCAAGTGTTATTCTTTTCAATCACAATCCCGAACAATCAAAGGAGAGGCAAGAAT